AGGCGAGGATATACGCTTAGGAACAGAAATATTAATATCATTTGTTATGCTGACGATGCTGTGCTCATAGCAGATTCGGAAGATGAACTGCAAAGAATCTTGCATACATTTAATATGACAGCCAAGAAGTACAATATGAAAGTATCCGCCGCTAAGACAAAAAGTATGGTAGTCAGTAGAAACCCTATACGATGCAAGTTGGAAGTAGATGGTAAAATGATCGAACAAGTGATGGAGTTTAAATATCTTGGAGCATTGCTGACAAGTGCAAAGGACTTAGGAACCGAAGTGCGAGACCAGGCACTCAAGGCGGCGAGAATTGCCGGATGCCTCAACGAGATGGTGTGGCGCAACAAATACATGGCCCGAGAAAGTAAAGTCAGAGTCTATAAAACAATCGCTAGACCAGTGTTAACATTTGCCACAGAGACCAGGGCCGAGACAAAGCGCACCAAACAACAATTCCGCACCGTTGAAATGAAGGTCTTAAGAAAAATAGCGGGCTTTACGCTTTGGGATCATCAGACCAACGAGTCCATCAGAGATGCTTGTAATGTGCAAGATGTAGCCAAGTGGACTAGGATGAGGAGAAAGATGTGGTCGGAGCACGTTGACAGAATGGATGAAGAGAGACTGGCAAAAGTTTGTATGACTGGACAACCCATAGGGAAAAGACTGCCTGGACGACCGCCTAAGAGATGGGCACAAAGGTGGCTCTCTTCTCCTGAAGATGATTGAATGTTCCTGTTGCTATTTGTTTTATTGACTTGACGAATCTTAAATTAAAATTTTAATTTTAATTTTAATATTTAATTTTTAATTTTAATTTATTAAATTTGTAATATTTTGTGCTTGGCACTCAAAGGCTTGACAAACAGGGCCATGCCCTAGTCGTTAGTAAAAGAAGAAGAAGACTAAAATCAGGAAACTACTCAGTTAGCAAGATCGAGCTCCGTCATTTGGATACATTAGCCCGTACAGGAGCTCGCTTTAATATTCGCGTCATCCACAAAACGTAGCAGTAGATAGAAGATCGAGTTGCCAAGCGCACTTCTCACAGTCTCCGTCCACAGTCTCCAGCGGCCGATTGGAGACCGAGATGATAAGCGCGCTCCTCACGGCCCCCGTCCACAGTCTCTAGCGGTTGAACGGGAGTGAGTCGGGAACGAGTCAGGCGCGCGCATCTACCCGTAGGCCTTGTCTCCACGGCGCAACTGTTGAAGGAAGTTGGCGCAACTGTTGAAGGAACGGAACTGTCTCACAAATGTTTCACTTATAACAGAAACTTTCAAGGTCAGAAGCCTCGAACGTGGAACAGTTGTTTACCTTTTTCGTCTGATTTAACCTCAAATAAACGATTGAGTGAGTGCTTATCCCACGATTTAGCTTTAATTTTGCCATTATTCAACATATTTTACAATCATAATTTTACTATAATTGTTGCTTAAGCACTTTTACGTGATTCCTTCAGTTATATGTGGCTTATTTATCCTTATTTAGCTAAACGTAGGACGTTATTTTCTAGTGAAGGTGTTTAGTGTCAGATGGAATCCAGGCTTATTACTGCTTTTTCAGAAAATTCTTGCAACTCTAATCAACATTTTATGACTACAGAAGCAAAGCAAGCAAAGAGCTTTACAGGCTACAATTGAGTAATAGCCTTACCTACCAGTTCATCATCTGCGGAGAACTTTTTTACTGTATCCACACGATTTGCCTAAGATTTCAAGATAAGGCACCCTGCTTCCCTTTAAGTAGTGCACCGAATATTTTCATTTCAATCTACCGATTAAATCTAGAATCTGATCCAATCAGAGCTGTGTAGCTCTTGAATTTGTGTGTTATCCATGTATCTATTTCCTGGTTGTCCTACTGGAAGTGTGAGACCAGCCACAACCGTGACCTGCTGACTTATTTCTTTGATCCAATCTCTTGTAAATGATGACTCAAATTCTGAGGCCATCATTTATTGAAACTAGTTCAAAGTTATTGCTCCAAAGTATCGTCACGCTTCTCATACTGAGGTAGAAGGAAGGAGATTTTTTGGTGAGTGCTCTGTTATCCAAGATTTGCAATTTGAGATAAGAATACGGTTTTTATTGAGGCGTGTAACAATTTTTGGTCGTTGAATCACTTGTCATAATTGAGTCTTGGCGTTAGAGATGCATCAACTGTGGAAAGTGGCTCTGCCTGTGCAAAAATATCGTGTGACAGCAGTGAATGTTAGTAAATGCGCTTTACAGGTAGACTGAAAGCTCTTTATTCCAATCTACCCGAATAATTAAATTCAAAAGCATCTTTGAATTGAGTTCATATCGAATCTCAATGGGAGAATAATATACAGTGTAAGCGAAAGAATATCAATGGTAAGGTTGGGTTTGTGTCTTAGGTTAGTGAAATGCAATGGCAGGTTCTGAAATCTTGTTTGTCAGTTGCTCTTTACATGAGTCACCTTTGAAAATCAAGTTTAAGAAAAAAAACACATAGGTAGGCAAACAGTAGTAGGTAGCTTGCCTATTTTCTTCCTGTCTTGCTCATGGACTCGGAGAGCAGTCGGAAAGAGGGGTGAGAAACAGGATTTCAGCGCGTGTCTCTGGGAATGTGGAAATTTAAAATTTGTGAAGCGTCATCAGTTTGTTAAGATTGTCACCGTCCGTTTCCTCAAGAGGATTTAGACGCTTCTGCTTCAGCGAAACATTGTTGACCTATCAATATCCGCTTATTTTGATCATATTTTGAAGGAGCGATTCCCATAAGTATTCCCGATTAGTTATTTGTTTCACTACAATAATGGCAGACATACAATCTTTACGACACCATGGAGTGAAGGTGCGGTGCTTTACTGGATTAGCACTCCTACACTTTCAATGCTTATATCTACCTATTGTAAGATCATTAGAAGCTCAATAAACAATATGATGAATTTCTGCGCCTGCCACAATTATTTTTAACATCACTAAAATTACCTATGGCAACTTTTCTGAACTCAGAATATAAGCTCGAGCATGATTTGAAGGGTTGTTGAGATTACTTAGGTATTCATTCAATTTTTAAATATGAACGTAAAATGATTAAAAATCCACTGTCATTTTTCCAACTGTCGCTCAGAAAGTCAGTAAAGGCTTTTTTAAAACTCGACATGGACAATCAATTCTACAAGTGCTTTGTTTACAAAAGTTGATACTGATTAACCTCAAAAGTAATTGAGTCGTTCAAATATTCCCGCTTAAATGTTCCGGGAACACTTAGCCGTGTGTCGAGACAGGGAACCTCGGTTGGTGCAACAAACGCGGAACAAACACGCAACAGTTGCGCTAACTTCCTTCAACAGTTGCGGCGTGGAGACAAGGCCGTATGTGTAGTGTGTTTGGAGCTGCAAAGAAATGCAGGAGTCCGGATGCGCGATGCCGATGCGCCTTCTTCGCAAGTAGCCAGCATGATCCGAGTCTGCGGCCTGCTCATTGTCAGCCCGCGTTTTTCAACCAAGATGTCCGCGCGGCACCTGTTCGTCTCATTCGTGCTTCGTCTTGTTCGTTCGTAGACCACGCTGTTGTGTTGTGGTTCAACTCGTGACTTTAAAGTGAGTGCATGTGTCACCGACGCCTATGGAATTGAGTGTGAAGACCACTTTTTAAGGTAAGAGTTTTCCTTATTATTTTACACACATTTGCACATTCCTCACCGGTTTTTAATTCTGCTGCTCGGGCAAGAAACCCAACCAAAATATTTATCTCTGAAGTAGTGATTTTGTGGAAGGACGAAAGAAAGTTTTCCTTGAGCTGAGGTTAACCTCCCCTCCAATCTGTACCATGCTTTGACCTGCTGTTGTTCAAGCAGAGTTCTTACTTACCTCAACTATCTCTGTTCCTGCTCTGAGTCATTTGACTTTAGCATATTTATACTTCTAAGGGTAATAGGGTATACAGGCACGAGCAATTTTCAGCATCTAAGGCTCACCGGAAGGTACATATTACTGTTTATTCTTTACCGCAACATCGATTTGCTCTTGAGTGCAACACCGATCATTTTTACTGGTTTCTTGGTATCATTCCTGATGAAAGATTCAATTCCCTCACTCTCATTCAGATTTTCAGGTTTTCGGAACTGCACTGCTTATAGAAGCTCTCACAAGCTTGGGAATATAGCATCAGACTTCTACGACCAGGTCGGGAGGCTCTTCAAATTAGTCCACTGACTTCTAGTGTGCCACCCGATTCAATATATTCTAGTGTGAAAGTGAAGAATAGCTGATCCTCAGTTGCCCTCCTGAAGTGAGACTACTAATTTAGCAAGAACATCATTCAGTTTTAGAAGCTAAATTCCTGCGATTGTGACCTATTTCAATTCTTACATGACTCAACACTTGCTCAATCCCTGGTAAAAATGATCAGTTGACGGTGTATCAGTTTGTCAACGGTGTTTTGGCGCGGAGCATCAGTAGACATCAATTGAGATCGGGTCAGTTGATGGCTTCAACTGATCTAAACTCATAAGTGGTGGCAGTTCGAAGTATCAACAGATATGGAATGATACTTAGTATCAGTTGGTACCATGTATCAACTGATAAAGACATAAATTAAAAACGCACTATCTGCTTGTGTAATTTTACGTATTTATTCAGTTTCTCACGTTTATCTCACGATTTGACGACCAGAGAGCGCTGCTGGGAATTACCGTTCTCTGTTCTCTTGGTCTCAACTGCTCTAATTCTGGCAGTGCATTCTTGTCTGTAAGGGTAAGTACCTAAACAAGTTTGAACAGATAACATATTTCTAATCCATGCGAATTTTGTCAGTTCCAGGGCCTTCGACAGATAGGGGGTAGTAATGCTGGTGATATGATTCGAGGAATGCTTCTCCGCATTGTACGGAATGCTGTCGCCAAACAATACAGCTTTCAAGGGAAAGGAGAAAGCAATAAAAAATTTGACAAATACTTAATTGTCAGTATGATGTTAAGTAAGTAATAACTATTTCCCTGCAATAAATTTTCGAAGCTTACTTGTGACTAATTGATATTGATGGAGGAACGTGTACTCTTGTATTTCATAGCAGAAAGAGGATATCAGTGTTAAGGTTAATTTTCTCATGCCCTTCAAGCTACTGCCATGATCTTGTTGTATTCCTAAGAGTACATTTTCATCCAGAGATATGGATCAATTTCTTAATTGCAATAACTGTGAGGGAACAACTGAATTCGATCTCATAGCTGAGAAGAAATTAGTTTGTGAAACATGCAAAATGCTCCTAAGGCAGGGTTTTACAGGCGATTAAATTTCTGAAAATAAAGAATTCATTTAATTTCATAAGGGCAAACCCCCTAGGTAGTCTTAGAAGAGCTTGATTAAATTGTAAAGTGCCAATTTAAGGCGCAAAATGTTGAAAGTCGCGTTTTTAACATCAAAATCACGTGCGCAACACGGGGTAAAAAACTTTGCTTATCTTTCCCGGTTTATAATGTGAAGGTTTCGCCAATTTTGATGAAAAAATGTGAAAAAAAAGACAAATTTAAAAAATGGGAAAGCAAACAACTTTCACTTACAGTTGGTGCCCATGTGAAAAACTTTATTTTCCCCTCCTCTGATATTTATTCAAACTGAATTTTTTGAACTACCTAATCCAGTCAGGCAGAAAGAGAAGTTTCTTGTTTTTGAATAGGCCTGTTTAAAGTCAGTTTGTAATATTTGTTCTCATCTCTCTGGTACAGATGTAGTTCGTTCCCACGAGGAATATAAGTCC